TGTCGTTGAGGGACTGTCTGGCTGTAGAGGACACACTTCAGGACAGCAGGCCTCACTAGCACAGCTGCCCTCACAGAGTAGGTGCTTAACAAATGCTCTGTCATTCATCATCACAGGGGAATCCTTCAAAGTCTTCTATTTTTGGTAAATAACCAATCGAGCATTGAAATTCCAAACTTTACTATACAGGAGATACACAAATCCCTCCTGTGTGATCTGCGAAATGACTGAATGACGGATTTATTCGGTGCGTGTGACAAAGGGTGCTGCCCTCTGCCCAGGCGGCCCTAGATCACTGTGTAATCAACTGGCCTCTGACGCACCCAGCCTGCAGGCCTCAGCCTCTAGAGCAGTGGTTCTCAACCTTCCTAATGCTGTGACCCTTTAACACAGTTCCTCATTTTGTGGTGGTCTCCAACCATAAATTATTTGTGTTGCTACTTCGTAACTATCATTTTGCTAGTGTAATAAATCATAACATAAATATTTTTAGAAGTAGATGTTTGTCGTAAGGGTCACAGGTTGAGAACAACTGCCCTTGAGTTTTTCACACTACTGAGCTACCACTAAATTGATCTGTGGTCTTGGTTCTTTTTATCTAGGACTCATAATTCAGCTTGTGGACTGTCTGCGTTGTTGGGGGAAATGGGAGTTTGTTTCCTGATTCACAAAGATTGCCCTTGCCCAGTTTTGGTCAGTAAGCTGATTTCCATAGCATGCCTCAAAAGTGGTGCTTCCTAGGGAAGCTTGGGGTGACTGCCTCCCTTGTGGACTAAGCAGGAAGGATGTGGAATTCTACATCCTAACTGTGGTTAGGAAGGAAGTCCTAAGACCGAGGCCTGGCAACTGTAGACCCTAATGCCCATGAGGGAAATGCCAGCCAGGCCACCCACAGTGCTCCTGATCTCCAGCCAGCTGCCCATCAGAGCAAGCACCGCAGGGAGCCGAGTCTATCATCCTCATGCTCCATTTCACAGCTCAGAGAGAAGCTGCAGGACACTTGAAAAGGGAAGCTTCTAAATAAAGCAGTCAGAGGAACATTTGAAACTTTTAAGTGAAATGATTTAACCCACAGAGGGAAGAAAACACCCTTGTTCCCGCCCCTCACCCCTCCAACTAATGACTGCCTTCCTGCTGTCCTATTGCCACTTTGTCTTCCCCAGTCACATTTTGCAAACCCTTGCTGTGGACCAGTCCTCACTTGGCAGATGGAAATGTTCAGGGAAAGGGACTCCAGGAAACACAGTTCCCTGCACGACCACAGGGTGTCCTGAGAGCATTGCAGCTCTCTCACAGCAGAAGAACCTGAATGGGGCGGGAAGGGGGAGAAAAAGCCCTGTCATCTAATCCAGGCTGCTGACCTGTGCTTAGACGTTTTTGCTCTTTATCATTGAATGTTGATAACAGCCTGCTGAATGAGATCATCTTCAGGATACATGCTAGAAAGATGTACAGACTGGCCTTTTTCCTACGTCTTCAAGAGGTCAGAACTTCAAACTAGTTCAAAGTTCACTGCTTCCCATGAAAGAAGGCAGGACCTGATAAGGATCTGACTTCCTGGTTGCTTGTTTGGATTAAGACATAAAAATTAAACGTAAGATAGATGTAAGACTGTTGAGCTTTCCCTGCTAGTTTCCTAGTTTCTGCTTTGGTGGACAGGCAGAGTTAGGATGGCTAAGCCGTGACTCCCAGGGACACTGCTTTTGACCAGAGAACTGCAGACCGAGCCAGCCTAGTGCTGCATTGCTGTGTGGAGCCTGGGTTTCCCTTCAGCTGTGCCCAGAATTAGAAAGCTCAGCAGGAGCCTAGAGACTGTATAGGGCTCACTCTAGGAGTTGGTAACAATCCAGACTCCCCCATTTGTATTCTTTAAAAGGTAGAGTTAGGAAAGAAGCTGTTCTCTGTGCTGGGGTCACAGCAGCAGAGCTGTTTCTCAACCTTTTGTGGTCATCCGAATTTTCTGTTTTGTTCTTGCCATTTACCCAGTAAATGTCTTTCCAGGAAATGGCCTCACATAGATCCACCAAGTCTTTTCCTTTGATGCTGTTTTCTGATCCCATTTTACATGTCAATCCTCATTAACTTTCTCTCCTGGTCCACTAAGCTAGTGAACACTTGATGTAGTCACACTTGGAAGGCCCTCATCGCTATTTATCCAACACAACCACTAGATAATGGCTAAAGTGTTCTCCTGGGGGTGGGGTCGGGGGCTGGGAAGTAGTTTTAATTAATTTCTTGTTATAGGAAAATAATTTATGAATATGTTATGTAAAGTTACTTTACACAAAAAGTACTGTATGAAAAAAATTCTAGTTACCCTCAGGGTTTAGACCCCTGTCCCCATTTCTGCTTCTGAAATCTAACATTTTAAAGACTCTTGACTGTTCTTTGTTTTGTTTTTTAAAGACTTTTGGTTTGGGGTTTTTTGTTTTGTTTTGTTTTGGTTTTTTTGGGTTTTGGATATTTCGTTTTGGTTTTGATTTTGGGTTTTTTTGTTTTGTTTTGGGTTTTGGGTGTCTTGTTTTGTTTTTTTGTTTGTTTGTTTGTTCGGGTTTTGGGTGTTTTCTTTCATTGGTTGTTTGGTTTCTATCTCCAGTCATGAATTAAGTCCTGCATCGAGCCTGCTTCCTCTTCCCAGCTTTAGCTGTCTTCTTGCCGATTCCCGTTTCAGAAGGTGAAAGCTGTGTGTTCCTCGCCTGCCCTCCCATGATTGTGTCTGTCCCTATGACTTTCTCAGTGTGTTTATGTCGTTGTTTGTTAAATCCCACTGGGGAACACGGGAGCAGATCCACGTCAGCATTAACCTATGCTGCTCTGGAGCCACACATGTGGCACAGCTGTGGTGGCTGCTGACAGAGGGTCTCCTGGAGAGCTTTGTTGTTTGTGTGTTTCCCTGTATTGCATTTCCTATTTCCTAGATTTCATTCCTATCCCTTTTCTTGACTTATACTTTTCTTTAGTGAAATGCCTCTTGCCTCTTTAATTGATTTGGGGAAAAAATAAGAATTGAAACCTTGATGGTGTCATTTGAAAACATCATTATTGGACCTTTCTATGTCATTGTTCATTGAAAGTTATTTTCTTAATATTTTCTGAAATACATTTCAATTTATTGCTCCAGTTTTTTAATGTATCTTTTCTCATTTTGTGTGTAGCCCATCTTTTCTTGTTCAAAGTTGGGGTCCTATGGTTCCTTCTGGTGACCCTTGTGTGGGCCACAGTCCTTGTGTTCTGTTTTCAGTAGCTGTCTGGTGTCTGTCCCAGCACTGACGCAGCCCTCAGCTCTGCTTCTCACGCCCGCCGTCTAGTGTCTGTCCGAGCACTGATGTTGCACTCAGCAGCTGCAACCCTCTCGCTTACTCCTTACTCTGTTGTCAATGCCGTGCAGCAGGATTCCTCTCCTGGGTCTCAGCCCTGGCTGCCTGCAGAAAGGCCTCACAGGTCTGCTACAATGAATAGGGGACTGTGAAGCACTTCAACTTCCTCAAATTTAATATGGTTTATATATTTTTTCTATAAAAGTTTACGGTAAATAAAAGGAAATTTTTCTGTTTTGTGGGGGTGTCTAGCTTTATATGTGACCTTAGTGTCACGTGCTGCCGCATGCTATATGGTTCAAAGCTCAATGATGCTTTCCTATGGGCACTTTCCTTTGCAATGCCCCTCCCTGTGGGCCCCGTCTCAGTGACTCACTGTAGTACAAACACTTCTCTCTAATTGCTCTTATGACAGACTTTGTCTTCAGGTCTCTATAACCTTTGTCAATACAGATAACTTTTCTCACTGCCACTCTATGCCTTGGAAGCCCAAAGTGTAAATAAAAGCCTATTTGAATTGCATGTTTAAGGTCAAATATTAGTCCCCAAATGCTAGAAGTACTTTGACTTTCAGCTGTGATTTCCTTGGGGGTTTTTGTGCAGCTATCACTGTGGGCGCAGTCCAAGGTTAATGTATAATCAACTCTGATAATGAGTAATACACCTAGAGCCAGTCACTTAGTCCTCAGTAATATGTTACTGAAACACCCCCTCCACTAAAACTGGGACTACTTGCTAGGCACCTTCCTGTAAAAGTAAAAATAGCAAAGGAATCGAGATGTAATCTTTGAGAGTCCAAACCAATCGTCAGCTGAAATGTTTAAGAGAAGTAATTAGATATTTTAATGAATATGCTATTTTGTTCTTAGTTGAGAAGCGACTTTGAAAATTGTTTTATTTTAAACATGTTGTAAGCGAAACGAAGCCCAGGTCCACACTTTCCGAGTTCATCATCATTCCTTATCTAAACCCACAGACTCCTTGGGCTGAGATGTTAAACAGGAACAAGACTTGGAGATGAGCATGTCGTCTAGGTATTTCCAGAATGTTCTCGCTGGCCAGTCAAGCCTCCAGAGTCACTGCAGTGAGCAGGATGGGAAGATAGGGGGCAGCAGCCGAGCCCATGGTGCCGCCTCATCGAGACCAATGCTTTGCCTTGCTGTGAAATTCTACTTGGATTTTAAGGGAATGATTAGAGTTGCATATTCAGTTGCCCACATATTGTCTGCAAAGACTGTTCGCCCAGTGAAGGTGCAGCCTTAGGAGCTGAGAGCATGTGCAGGCTGGTGTCCCGCGCTACCGTCTCGCCAGCAAGAACCACGCGGTACACATAGGATCCTTCTGCAGAAAAGCTTTATGTCTCTTGGGAGCTAGAGCATAAGCCACATGGCGGAGACCCAGATAAGATGGAACCCATCCCTTATATAGGAAACAGACCCTGCTTTGGAACGTGTCATTCTTGGATTGGTCAACTGCTCCCAGTCCCAGGTGATACCTTGGGAGTAGTGGAAAAATACCAACACGTGTGAGCTTTCTAGCTCACCTGGCAGTGCAGCGCCATCTAAGGTGGAGAGTGTGGTTGCAGCCTTCTACAGGCTGGTTTGAGGCTGGGTTGTCCCGTCAGCCCTGTTCCTATCATGTGGTGTTGTTTGCATCTAAAGGGTCTTCTGTCTTTGTCTCCAGCCTCCAGAGCGAAGCTCAGCATGATCAACACCATGTCAAAAATCCGCGGCCAGGAGAAGGGGCCGGGCTACCCTCAGGCGGAAGCCCTGTTGGCAGAGGCCATGCTCAAGTTCGGCAGGGAGCTGGGCGATGATTGCAACTTTGGTAAATAGCCTTTGTCATATGGTAGCTCCCCGTAGGGGTCGCAGTGTTGATAAGAAGTGACTCTGGAGAGCATTATTCAGCTATTTTATACTTTAACTCTCACTTTTAGATATTACACATGAGGGCTAAATGTGATTTTTTAGGATTGCTATTATCTAAAGTGATTTGTCTAAGGGCTTTTGTCCTCTTCCACTAAAGGCTTGACAACAGTTTTGGCAGACATGCCCAGATGCCTTGGAACTTTACTGGCTATATCTGGCAGGAGCTGGTTTTGCAGACAGAGTGAGCAGTCACAATCAGCATGATTCGCCACCCTGCCACCTGGGCTTTCTCTGATTAATCCGCTGCTCATTTGTATGTGGTACCTGATTCTACTGCCCCAGGCAAAATACCATGTATTCCATCTCCTTTCTCCTCTGGCTCTCGGGACCTCAGCACCTTCTGCCTTCACCCCTCCTTCACCCCATTGATGTGGGGCCTTTCTTGGCCCTAGTTCTCCATTCTTGGTGTCTGCTTCTGCTAAAAGGCGTTGAGTTGCAACGGATCTCACATTGCTAAGAACTAGCACTAATCATGGAGGACAGAGAGCCTTCCAAAAGCTGCTCACAGTAAAGCGCTATGGTATTGGTAAGGAGGGATATTCCTCCCTGGAAATATCCTCCCTGGAAAGTGCTGTGGGACCTAGTTGTCAAGATGGTCTGCGGGGAAATAGAAAAGCCACTGTTACTTTAAGAGCTTCATGGTCTCTCTCTCTGTGTCCCTGCTGTCGTAATAGGTCAGAGACAACCCTTACATTGTCAGCTTGAAGGCCGTTATTGCAAAGCCACCTCATCTTTGTTCTTCATGGTGTGTTGTCTTCACTCCCCCCTCTCAGGGCCAGCTCTTGGTGAGGTAGGAGAAGCCATGAGGGAGCTCTCAGAGGTGAAGGACTCTTTGGACATGGAGGTGAAGCAGAACTTCATCGACCCCCTTCAGAACCTCCACGACAAAGATCTGAGGGAGATTCAGGTCTGTGCAATGCGTCTTCCCAGACCCACGCAGGTTCTCATTTGCTCAGGCGGCGCTTACTAGGCTGCACAGCAGCGGGCGCCTGAATTCCCAGCAGCCCCCAAGCACAGAAAGAACCGAAGACGGAAGGCCTCAACCTATTGTCACAGGTGCAGCTCTGCTGCTCCTATGGGCATTGTATTGGCTCCTCTGGGTTTAACTTCCCGGTTAAAGCAGTATTGACACCATTTCTTTTCTACATAAGGAGGCCCTTTATCGGGGAATTTGTATATTTGTTAATGTGAATGTTCGGCTGGGCTGATGCAACCCTTAAATATTAATTGTACTTTCTGTTGGCTTGAATAAGTAGCTACTGTATCACTCTTACACACATTTTCATGATGGTTGTTGGAACAGAGAGGAAATAACCACCCTTTCTAAAGCACACAGAGCAGTTGAGCTATTTATGATGAAGTCAACTGGCTTTTCCTCTGACTGTGAGTTCAAATACTTTTTAAGAACAGTCCTGCCTAGAGGAAACCAGGTAGCTAGGATAAGACCATGAGCTGAGGATAGGAGGCCAAGGAGGGCTATGGAATATCACCTGTCCCTAGCTTCCCAGGCTTTACTGCTCCTGACTGTTTTATCTTCTTCCCTCGTCCATACACACTAGGAACAAGAGAAAACCATTCTTTTCCCTGCTAGTCATGGAATACTACGATTATTAAGGGAAAAAATTGCTATTGATCTTTAAGAGAAGAACAAGTCCTTCTTAACCAAGGCCCTAGAAATGCTGGGAATTTTACTACAGATGATGTGGGGAGGGACTGAAGCAGGTTGGGAGGCTTTTGATGAAATCTTCCCAGGGTCACTTGCAGTTTGCATTTGTGACTGAGTTGTGTCTTCTGTCCACGGAAAGGTTTAAAGCTAAGTCATCTGCCCCCTAAAAGCCACCTTTGCCAAAGGGGGCCTGTGCTGAGATGTGGATTACTAGGCTCAGCCCTGTGTGTTCTGACTCAGGTAGTCAGGGGTCTGTATTCTTAGTAGACACATTAGGGGATTCTGGTAAACTAGATTTTTTTTTCTTTTTTAATGAAAAAAGAAGTTTCATTTCTTCCACGTTTACCTCAGAGAAAGGGGCTTTCCCCTGCTTTCTCCTGAGGAAAATGACGTGTGGGCTCTTGTGTGTACCCTTTTCTTAAGGAAGAGAGTTTGTGGGGTGGGCACACTCACAACCCCCTCTTGACATTTGGAAGAAGAGGCATAGTTTAACTTGGCTCTGGTTTGAAAATGCCAAATCAAAAGGATACTTGTCTTTCTATCATTTAGTTCTCATTCTGAATTATTTGTAATGGTGTCAGTTCACAGGCCTTTGAAACATTACCTTTCCTGATGCATGAGTTTTTATTTCTCTGGTGAGATCCAGTATCAAACACAATCAGACTTATTTTGGAGGCTACTCAGGATGGAAGAGAAATGAGGCCTGAGCAGGCCTTTTCTGTAGGATGCCCTTTTGAAGCATCTTCTTGCCTTTGGCTTTTTCAGCATCACCTGAAAAAGCTGGAAGGCCGGCGCTTGGACTTTGATTACAAGAAGAAACGACAAGGCAAAATCCCAGATGAAGAACTTCGTCAGGCGCTGGAGAAATTCGATGAATCTAAAGAAATCGCCGAGTCAAGCATGTTTAATCTCTTGGAGATGGATGTAAGCCACTCTCTTCTGGGTTTTCACTGAATTTTATCATATAGGCACAGCATTGATGTGTTGAAAAATACATCGCGGAACAAGCTCCTGTCTGGTTACACTGAGTAATGCGAGCACATGGATGCTTGCTTCTTTTGAATCATGTATCATAAAGTAGACATAGAAATGACAAGTTCCTTCTTTATCCTGGTAGTTTGATTTGACCAGAACTTTGTATATTAATGGATTTTAAAATATTACCAATAGTACAGAGATAAAGAATGCCTATGACAACCCATTTTTTAAATCTAGCATCTTACAAACTATAGTCTAAATCTAGAGCACATTTACCTACAGTTAAGAATGACAACTAAAGTATATGCAGAGTTTTGTATCCAAAATTATAAGCATGGCCAATATGTGGAAGTGAGGTTAACATTTTTTGTTTAAAAAAGACATACAAATTGAAATTGATGATTATAGCATAGGTACTATGTTCAGGCATGGTTGGGGTGGTTTCAAAGTTGTTTCTGCATCTTCAGTGTACTGAATTATCTCTCATGGCTTGAGACATGAAATTCTGTTGAGTTCTTCCAGCTGTGAAGACACCTGAACAGTCCTTTCTTTTTTTCACACATGTAGGCATCAGAAAAGCCAGCTTTGCTGTCATGGTTTATATCCACCTTCCAACCCATCAATTTGGCTGTGATGGTTGCGGGATTTTCTATACTTGTCACTTGCATTGGCAAGGAATCTTCAGAGAAAAGCACAGGGCTATAGATGTAGGTAGTATGGGTGTTGTATGCTTAGCTGGAGATCAGGTAGGAAAAGAAAATTCACCGTTAGGGAGATTATTGAGGCTCATATGTCCTTCATATGCCTCCTAGAAGTTGGGGAACCAGAAAAGTTGGAAACATTGTACAGACCGAGTCTAAAGGCTAAGAATGAATGGTGGTGATGGACTAATTCATTCTGTGGCCAGAGGCTAGAGAACCTAGCAGAGGTGGAGAACAAGTCTTAGGGATGGAAGGCTGGAAGTTCTGATGTCCAAAGGCAAGAGAAACTGAATCTTCTGCCCCAGGAGAGAGGAGATTGAATCTCTTTCTTTTGCCAGTTGCTTTATTTGAACCCTCAATAGACTGGGCAGTGTACCATGTTAGATATGCACAACTCATTCTCGGTCAATCCTCTGTTTCAAATGCAAATCTGGTCTTGAAACATCTACACAGACCTGCCCAAGAGATCATGCTTAGCTAGCTTTTTGAGAATCCTTTAAATTAGTCATGTTGCCATCCAAAATTAGTCACCACATTACCTAATCGGCTTACCTCCTAAAAGGCAGGGAAGGCATGTTGAACACACGTGGTCCTCATCATCTAGAGATGTCTACAGATGACTTTTGTCCTCCTAACCACTTAAGTGTAGGAAACTTGAATCAATGTGTGTCCTTGTACACTGGGCCCTCCTCCTGCACCCTCAAACTCCTAGGACAGCGTTCATTGCCCTTTTTGGCTTGGAGGCTGCTACTCAGATAGTTCTCTGCACAAGACTCCTAAAAGTTAGACCACTTAGAATATTCAATAATTAGCTTTAAATCCCACTGGGATCAGGCTAAGAGGTCAAAAGATTTATTCCATCCCATGGTCTGAAGTGAGAAATCAATTTTCCTCTTTTGCATTACCAGCAGTTATTAGAATGTAAAATGATGCTTGGATTTCATGTTGGCTGCTGTAGGCAAGAAGCAAAGAGTCCTCTAGTGACTCAATCTTTCTTCTATAGAACCCCAGTGAAAGAAGCTACATCCTATCCAGAAAATTCATAGTTAAGTACAAAACTGTTTAGTGAACTCAGTGAGACCTTCTCAGAGATACTCTTTGCTTCTCCTTACGGCTCTACATGTAGGGTCCTAAATATAAGGATTCTAAATCAACTTAGAACCTGAAGAACCATGTGTGCTCATAGCAGGTGGCAGAATCATTGGCATCCCCAACAGCTGCGCTGCATGATGCACACTGCTTCAAGACCATAACCTAGTAACTGAAGCACAGTCTCCCCATCCTACAGATTGAACAGGTGAGCCAACTCTCCGCCCTTGTGCAAGCCCAGCTGGAATATCACAAACAAGCAGTACAGATCCTGCAACAAGTCACTGTCAGGCTGGAGGAGAGGTAAGCTACACTTCCCTGGGGTTCTCAACTGCTGGAAAAATGATGTTCAGAGAAACGGAAATGAAAGAATATTTGAGATGGGCTTCTGCCCATCCATCCTGGCTGATCCAACACAGGCACCTTGCGAACTGACTGCCTGACTTTATTTTGCACTGTTCCTGGTCTTGCTTTCTTCTGACTCAAATCCTGTCTTGTATGTATAATTTACACATCAACATCATGTATGTACAGATGCTGATGTATAAATTATATATTTGCTGCCATGGATGGTTCAGCAGAATTCTGTGGATCATGGCTACTAGGATTTCCTGAGTGATATCCTGCATGGCTGCCATGCATAGGAACACTTTGAAAGAGATCTGTCCTAACAGATGAGCGGCACTGTGGCGCTCAGGAAGATGATGTAATAGTCAAGGGTGGAGCATACAGGCGAGCAGAGCATGTTTGGAAGCCTGTGTCTTTTCATTCTTGTTTTTCCTTGAATGATAGATAATTCAGTTGTCCCCTTTCAGAGACAACTGATTCCCTGTGCCTGTTCAGTCTCCTTGCAGTGAGCTGCACTAGATTTTCTATGTGAACAGAACTCTTTTGCGTTGCGAGGTGTAGCCTAAAAGTATATACGCTATGACCCTGTACTGTAATACAGGTGTGCCTTGACCAACATCAGATTGAATTCTATTCTCATAAAGGAAAGGGGTTTAGTAGCCCTCACCTCCAGAACAACATAGCTTAGCATTGAGTGTACTGAAGACTGTCCATGGTCTATTCTGTGATTACATGAGTAAGCAGGATTTGTGGTGCCTGGAACTGTGAGAAGACATTACACTACATGTTAGTAGCCTAAGAAAATACCAGAGTTTGGAGTGTTACTTCTATTGCTCAGGAATCCCTTGTGCATCACTGTAGTGTCAAAAGAATGTTGACGTGAACTGTTGTAAGGCAGGGGCCTTAGTAATCATATCTTGTTCAGCCAGGTGACCTTATTGCTAACCAGGAGCCTTACTATTCTTTCTTCATTTAGTTAGATAAAGGAGGATTATTTTTTGCTAGATAATTACATCAACGGATTACGTAGCAGCCTTTATTTTTAAGATCATGTCTAAAGTAACCTCTCCTGGGGGCTCGGTGGCTGAATGTCCAGTGAAGGCTCCGGTCACGTGCTGCATCTGGGAAATGTCACCTGTTATCCACTTGGTTGTACCTGGCCTTCCCTTTTCCTGTGAATCTTCCTTCCTCACTTGATATTTTATTTTTGATATAAAATCTTCGATGCACCTTTATGGATGTGTGCCTAACACCGAAGCATCTCTAATGGAAAGGCTTAAAACCCACCTATCAGAACACTACAGCAACACTCTGTGCCTCTCACATCTGTTGAAAATGAAGGGAATGTGTACTTTTTGTCCATATCAAACATGTTTGAAATAGGTATAATTCTAGAATTGTCATACAATCAACCTTCCCCACCTTAAATTTAAATACACGTGTCTTATTGAAATACCTAAAAATGGGAAAGATCTGGTGATGTGCAGAATTTACAGGCTTCCCCTACCTTTCGTGTCTTTATTCCTTCCCCACTGTGACCCCTGTCTGCTCACTCCTATTTGCCCATGACCATCCCTCCCACCCCACCTCCAAACCTTCTCACATCCTGCATGGAATAGCCTTCTTTCACATATTCTCCTGTAGACCTGTGCTCTCCCTCCCAAAACCATTTGTCACCTTCTTCATGGATAAGTGAACTCTCCACACCTCTAACCTTGGCCCCATGTACTCTGAGTTCTTTGTGGAGGTCCTAGAATAACAACACTCTTGTCTGTACTGGTCAGCGGCCTGCTCTCCCCTCTACAGCACACACTGCTTTGGGGCACCAACTGTGTCTTGTGCACATTTATATCTCCCTGACCCTAACATGATACATATTAGCATAAACTGCTCTGAATGCAGGAGCTGGAGCTTGAGAGAAATAATGGAGACCATGAGGACAAGGTGAAAGAGAAGCTTCCCCAGGAACACGTTGCATGCCCCTGAGAGACCAAGGGTTCTTAGTATGTTTTCCTCTAGGTCTTAGCAGATTTCTAAGTGGGTCAGGCAGTTCCTGGAAATTACTGCCTTTCTGTTCACTTTTTAACTGGCTATGTAATTCTCTGTCACTTCTTCTCTCTGTTATACAGAATAAGACAAGCTTCGTCTCAGCCCAGAAGGGAATATCAGCCAAAACCCCGTATGAGCCTAGAGTTTGCCACTGGAGACAGTACTCAGCCCAACGGAGGTCTCTCCCACACAGGCACACCCAAACCTGGAGGTAAGCAGCGGAAGGCTACAGGTTCCTTTTCCTGGGACTTGGGCACACTTGAACAATGCTGAGAACATTCAGAGTATCCCGTTGTTTCCCCTGCACAAGAGCTGCACAGCAAACTGCTCCTCATGAGAGGATTGTCAGGTCGGAGCTCAGCTCCTAGACATTGCTGTCCTTGCTGCACCACCCCTCTTTCTCTCCCTTCTCTCTGAAACATTCTCGGCTTCATGTTTCCTCTCATGTTCTAGTATCCAGGACCTCCCACGGCGCTTAGTTGTATTGTCTGTCTTCATATGGATTTTAGAGACAAGGTTTCTCTGTGTAGCCTTGGCTGCCCTGGAACTCACTTTATAGAACGTACTGGCCTCAAACTCACAGAGATCCACCTGCCTCTGCTCCCTGAGTGCTGGGATTAAAGGTGTGTGCCTCCACCACCACCCAGCTAACACTTAGTTGTTCTTCACCCCCCATCCCCCAATCTGCGGTTGTAAACGATGCCCTGATTTCTCCTTCCCTTCCCTCCTTCTGTGAGTCTGCTAAGGGGACAGAATGCCTCTGGGCTGTGTGCGCGCGTGCGCACACACACACACACACACACACACACACACACACACACACACATCCCCTATCACGCACAGATGGTAGCTCCAGGAAGCATTGCCTGATTGTATCTGCAAATGGATAGATTACAGACCTCAGCTCCTGCTGTGTTTTCTGTTTACTCCCTGCTGTAGACCAGTCCATCATTCTGTGAACTGCGGTCAGCATGAGGACAGCCACATTTTTCCCTCGGGAACCTTGACTGTACCCACTAGTTCAGTCTCTCCACTGCTGTGATCAGTCCCAGCTACCCACATACAAATCAGACCCAGGTTTTCTCTTCAGGCATTTCCTGCTGTGACGTTGTCTAGGTTAGAGAAGGGGGGTCCGTCTGACCCTGAGTATGGATGTTGAGGATGTGCAGCTCTATCCCATTCCCCTGTGTCTCCAGAGACTGACTTACTGCAGTAGCAAACTATAACATGCCGTTGTGATGAGGGGAAGAGGTGAAGTCTGAGCTCCGTGTGTAGTTCGGAGTGCCCAGTGTTGCCCCGTGTGGGGCTCAGACAGCAGTGGCCCTGGAGCTCATATCTATGACTGCACTTCTCCTCACCCAGAAACAAGGCATACATTTAATTTTCCACTTGGTGACTTCTATAAATTAAAAAAAAAAATAATTGTATTGTTTTCCCTTTAAGACATCGAGCTAGTGTGGGACCCATAAGTACTTTCCTGTATTTGTATTTGTCTGCATGCTGTATTAATATTTACTCATTTAAAATAGATCCCTTTTAGGATACAGTCCATTTTTCATTAATTTATCCAATATATATTACATTATCCTTATAGGCTGTGGCTCTTACACAGTACTCATGTGTGTTTATTACTCTCCAGTTTACCAAACACAGATTATGATTTTTAAAGCTTTTATCATTTAATGACACAGGATTTAAGGCAACTTCTGTTAACTATAATTTTGGATGTAGAAGTCAATGAAATGCTGGAGCCAGGTCCAACAGAGAGAAATCCTGGGCCTCGGGCTTTCTGTTGTTACCGCAGTTCTCAATAATCTGGAGTTGTTAAAGAATGAAAGCTGACCTACAATTCTGAGGTTTTAGAATATTGTCTACAACTAATTATACTATTCTGAATCTGAAGATACTCAAAAGTACTAAGATGAATGGATTTGGCCATGTCTGTAATTAACCTTAATTTAATTATAAACTCTTATGCCATTGCTTGCCCATCTCTCAGCATTATTAGGAAGATAAACCTGATGAACTTTGTTATAATTACTACAAAAATGCATGTAATGATTTTTCAATACAGGAAATAGCAACCAAGAATGTTCAACAACTCATAAAGCTCTACATAGGAACAGCTTTCCAAATATAGGAAAGCTGGTAGGAGACAAAGATGCCCTGGTAGTGGACGTCTAAGGAAGATGAAGATCAGAAGGGAGATGAGTGACCGGAAAGCGGGCAGAAAGCGGTGGGTGGAGCAGGCAGTGTGTGCCGCTGGTTAAATACCCTGTGACGTCCTAATGTTCTCTCTGCCTCTGATTCTCAGGTGTCCAGATGGATCAGCCCTGCTGCCGAGCCCTGTATGACTTTGAACCTGAAAACGAAGGGGAACTGGGCTTTAAAGAGGGTGATATCATCACTCTCACTAATCAGATTGATGAGAACTGGTATGAGGGGATGCTACATGGCCAGTCTGGCTTTTTCCCCATCAACTATGTAGAAATTCTGGTTGCTCTGCCCCATTAGGATCTTATGCTGGCTGGCTCACCTCTTTCTGACCCAGATAGTTATGTTTAACCACTGCTTTGGTAATGCCGCTTCCAACACATCATGAGTGCAGGCCGCAGTGGATGAGTCACCAAGCCCACACATGTCCTGGGTTGACCTGTGTGCTCCTACAGGAGACCCGGTGATAGACGGTATCTTCCAGAGCCAGTGGGCCTGGCATATGCTTTAAAACACCCGGAGACTAGCCAGTGGTCCCAGAACTGCTCTTTACCCAGTTCTCAGGAGGCTGTGGTTTCTGATAATATACACATGAGCCACATCACAGAGAAACTCTCCTCATTGAAGATATTGTCTCTCACCCGGGGCTCTCTCAAGGTCTCATGTTCTCCATGTACAGAGGAGAAAGCCCTTTCTGTTGCATTTTTCCTTCCTAAATGTGTGAGTCACAGAATTGTTGGCAAAAACATCTCCCACCAGCAAATTGTCTGCTGGTCTAAACAACATGGGCTTTTGATGCCCTCAGAAGAAGTATTAATTGTTCAAAGCGCTTTTGTTCTCCTACATCTATTCATCTATCTATCTATCTATCTATCTATCTATCTATCTATCTATCTATCTGCCTATCATCTCTCTATCTATTATCTATCATATCTCTATCATCTACCATCTATCTATCAATCATCTATTTATCATCTATCTATCTATCTATCTATCTATCTATCTATCTATCTATCTATCTATCTATCGATCATCTCCTCCTACTTCTGAGACATGCCAGTTTTCTTCCCTCCCTGCTGTTCAAGCACGATGGAGGGGGGATTTTCATTTCTTTCTGAATGAGTTGGTGAGCATTCTGTATATTGTCTGAAAAGAGAAAATTCTTCAAGATGAATTGGGAAGAATCTGATCTCCAAGTTCAGATTCCTTGCTGTACAGAAGCTGTGTATATACGTAGCCCACTTCTGAAGAATACAGGAAGGGGGAACAGCTATCTTCCCTTCTCTGTTTATTTACCCAGGAATCCATCCACTTCCTGAGTCCCTTTGCCACAAAGACATAAGAGAGAAACACTAGTAAGCATTTCCCACATCTTCATAGAACAAGACATAGTGACTGTTGCTCCTTCCCTCTTCTTTTATCTTGTTTGTGTTCCTTGAACATCATTTGTGTATATTCTGCCCTCAATGAGGACCAAATAAAGATGATTTTTGTGCTTAGCAGTTGAAGGTATGTGACTGCATATAAATCCCTTTCCCACCCTAGTCATTACTTTAACCCTTCTATTGCATCTTCATTTCGTGTGTACAGTGCTGTGCAAGCTGATCAGTGTTGGATTTTGTTTTTGTTTTTGTTCTCCCTTCAGTCGTGGAAGTCCCGTTAGGCACCCAGAGTTCTATTTATCTAGCTGTACAGGCTTCTCTGAGGTTTAATGTGCTGCTACTGATGTGCCACTTGCGGTAGTGGATTATGTGGAGTGAAAGGCAAATCTTCCTGCTTCATGTATGAACTAAACCATGGGAAGCATTGCTGTTTCCAATAAATGCTGCTGAAGATGAAACAGAGGGTTCTGCCTCTTCCTTATTTGTCAGTTCCTTTGTCTGACAGTGGGCGGACTGAGACTCCTGTGGTCTCCATTGCCTGTGAATGCAGTCAATCCAGACCTGGTCCCCACCTTATCTGCAGCTTGTTACATAAAGAAGTTTCAGAAACAAGAAATGAGCTAGTTTAGGCACTGGCAGCAGTAATTCTAGGAAGGACATGAACTTGGGGGAGAGGGTAAGGAAGAAAAGAAAGTTACATGACTTAACACATTGTCATGTAAGCAGGAGAATGCATTGTTAAAAAGAGGAAATAAAGTGTGTTGGCTATACTTTTGACTTTTTTGTTTTTAATATTTCTTTACTTTTAATTTTATGTATGTATATAGAAAAATATCATTTCTACCCCCTATTCCCTCCTTCAACCCCTCAAGTGTCCCCCCAACATATTTTTTGACCAGCTTCAAATCTTTAAATCCAGTTAGTGTTAATCATGTGTGGGGGGGTATGGGACCATATACTGGAATATGGGAAACCTACCAGTAGCCACACCTTCCAAAAAGAAGGATTCTCCCTTCTCCAGCAAGTATCTACTGCTATTAGCTCCTCAGTAAGAGGTGGGGCCTGGACACCACTCATGCAGAACTTTGGTTGGCTTGATCTTGTGTAGATCTGGTGCAGGTTACCACAGGTGTAGTGAGGTCATGATTGAGATAATTTTATCATATACTTCACAGCTATCCCCCACATCCTTGGCTCATGTATTCCCTCTGGCTCCACTTCCATGATGTTTCCTGATGGTAGGTGTGTTAAATATATGTCACATTTAGGGCTAAGCACATAGTCTCTTATGCTTAACACTTTGGTCATTGGTGGTCTCTGTATTGACTACTGTCAACCACAGCCGATATAAACATAAATATTTAGGAGGCATTTTGACAGCATGACCATTTGAGAAAAGTAATAATAATAGGTTACAACAGCAGCCATGTGTTGATGGAAAGAGGGCCCTTGTTCCATCCTGGCTGCCCAACTAGCTTACACCTGAAATAACCACACAGAAACTGTATTCATTTAAATACTGCCTGGCCCATTATCTCTAACCTCTTTTTGGCTAACTCTCACATCATGATTTAACCCATGTCGGTTAATCTGTATATTACCATGAAGTCATGGCTTACTGGGAAAGATTCAGCATGTCTGATTCTGGCAGCCCCATGGTGGCTCTCTCTGTCTGCTTTCTTCCTCCCAGAATTCAGTTCTGTCTCCCCGCCTACCTAAGTTGTGCCCTATCAGGCCAAGCCATTTCTTTATTGATTAACCAATGAAAACAAGACATAAGCAGAAGGACCTCCTACACCAGCCATGAGTTTTTGACCACAATTAAAAGTACAAAGCATGAAATCCCTTTCTGTAGAAAAGACCTCTGATCTAATTAGAAAATGACATTGGTAATTAGAAAATGACATTAATGATCTAATTGGAAAATGATATTGGTACCACCACTGCACCACTGGCACATCTTGTCTGGAAACTGATATTACATCATGCAGGGCCCATCACTACATAAGGCCATTGATGTCCTTTCTCCTCTGGAAGGCTGAATTGTACCTTCTGGCACTGTGAAAGCTAGCCAGTAGGGAGGAACTCTGCATGCCAACTTGAGATGGATCTTTCTATGTACTGCAGCCAAAACTGTGTTGTGTCTTCAGCAATAGAGTTATACCATGAAGCTATGATGAACAACCAAGGACAATGAATAGCCTGAATTGTTTTGGAGACCTCTTGGGCCTTCCTGACCAATATCTTCTATGGACTATCCTGTGCCTTGTACTACAATTTTCATTGAGTAACCCATGTCTTCTGGGAGTAACATTGTCCACTCATTCAGGGTCATTCTACTGTTCCCAGCATCACTTGATCCTTTAACCCTCAATATCCCCCTCTTTTATTTTACATGTGCTCTACTATTTTTCCACTTATATTTTAAATGCTGGGCTGTGCTGTTGTAGGCTTCTATATGACATATCATGCCCACTTCCTTTGGGTGAGCCCTTTCTTTCACACATCCTCGATTTATCCCATGCTTCCATGTCCCCTCCTGGATAAGCAAGCCTTTCTCTCCCCTGTATTTCACCTCACTATTTTTATTTTACCTATAATACTTCCCTGTACTTTGATTCTAAAGCTATGCATGACAAAAGTGTTTAATCAATGAACATGAAATTGCTGAAAATGCTTTATTTATCAGACTCCATTTATTTATTTATTTATGGAGTATATATGTGTCCACATTCATGTGTGTGCAAGTGTGTGGGGACCAGAGGTCAGTGTTGGGTTCCTTCGTTACCTGTTCTCCACTTGGTTTTTTAAAAAGATGGTCTGTGTCACTGCCTGGAACACATCAGTTTGGCTAGGCTGTCTGAATGACAGGCTAGCTAGGGAGTTCCAGGGATCTGCCTGTCTCCACCTCCCCAGCCCTGAGATTATGTGTGTGTGCCACGGTGCCTGCCACTTTAACATGAGTACTTGGGATATGAACTTAGATAAAAATATGCATTTTATACAGCTGTAGAAAAAGGTAATATGGCCGAGAAAATGCTCAGTTGGTAAAGCTTTGTCATGTAAACATGAAGACCTGAGTTCTACTTGTAGCACCCAGATAAGACGTCAGTGTGGTTGTACTTGCATGGAACCCCAGCACTGGGGAGGTAGAAAGTGAAGATAACAGATTCTTGAAGCTGACTAGCCATCTAGCCTTGGGTCCCAGTGAAAGACCAATCTCAAAAAATAAGGTGGACAGTTTCTGAGGAGCAGCCTCTGAGGTTACCTCTGGTCTCTATATGCATGTCCACACACCCCATAAATATATATGTGCAGTCCCCCCCACACACATACACAAATAAAGATGATGCCCAAAGAATGACAAGGTTAACCCCTGGGGTGCCATCACACTGCACACATATGAAAACACAAGCATTTTAGAAAATGGCAATTGTGACATATTAATTGATTTAAATATAGTATGCAGATAAAGTGCTGCAATTTAAACTTGATCTGTGGCCTATATAAGCAAACTTGTTTCAAGCCATACCACTGCCATAACCTGCCAAGTAAGCCACAGTAACACTTTAATATGCTCCCATGTAAATGCATTCTCTCAGATCTCCCACGAAAAGGCAATGTTCCTATTCTTATTTTTGGAAGTAATTATTTAAATGTCTCTACTTATTAAATGTATTCTTTAAAATATTCCATCACTCTAGAAAACTGTACAGTAAACAGACTAAGGTAGCTCCTAGTAAACACATTCATCTCGAAAGCCAGCATTGGGCACATGGTTTTGTACAAGATCCACAGGTTAATTCTGTGGTCAGTGACAACAGCTATAAGTACCTTCCTGATTTTACAGCATGGGAATGTGGACCATGGCATGTATCCAGTTAGTGCTGAAGACGTGTAAATTCTTTACGCAATGAACCTTTAAAAATAATTTTGTAGTGAGTCTAATAATATAAAAATACTATTTACCACACACAGAAGAAGAGAAAGTTAATAATTCAAATTACAAAAAACCACATGCTTTACATTGGGAGGGGAAATAGCAGCAATGCTGTAACAGTGTCTTATATGATATTGCATATTGATCAAAGTTGACCAAAACTTAAAGTGTAATTTTGCATGCCTTTAACTTTGTGGCGTCTTCCAAACTCTTGACAATTTTTCAGATACAAAGTTAGCTACCAGTAGCAAAGAGCCATCAGCAGCACAACACAGTGACAAAGTCAAATGCAACAAGGACAGTACATGGCCTACACACAATAGGAGTTCGGAAGAGCTGTGTGTACCCCAGCCATGTTCCAGCCAGCAAAGCCTCCCTTCAGCTTTAAGAGATGCAGTCATGGGAAAGTACCTATGGAGTCTTTTTGTAGCCCCAAGGGGGAACTAACAGCAAGCCTCTGCACAAAACAGTCATCTCCCTGTGAGTCAGCGTCAAATGATGAGAAAACAAAACACACTGTTCCCTCATTTTCCAATTACATTTTTCTTTGTGCTCGCATATCATCTAAAACGTTCAGAAAGCTGAGGGGAGTGTAGGCAGCTGTTGCAGACCTGAGAATCCCGCTTCAGTCCCACGCTGGCAGCTACTTCAGTGTGCCCAGGAGAGTCTGAGTCAGTCAGTCATTTTTCTGCTTAGTTTTTATGTCAACTGGACATAGGCTATTTGGGAAGAGGAAAAATCAATTGAGAAAATGCCTCCATAAGTTTGGACTGTAAGCAAGCTGTGGGGCATTTTCATAGTTAGTGATAGATGTTGGAGGGCCCAGCCTATTGTAGGTGGTGCCTTCCCTAACAGGTGGTCTTTGGGTATATAAGAACGGGCTGAGAAAACCAGTAAACAGCATGTCTTCATGACCTCTGCATCAGTTCCTGCCTCTAGGCCCCTGCCTTGAGTTCCTGCCCTGATTTTTCAGGAACCCCAAATAAGACAAACATGTAGCCCTTTCCCAAGAGACTCCCAGATTCCAGCAAGTATGGGAAACACTGGACAATATACAAATATCTTAAATTAGCAGGGTACTATTCACTGGCATTTTCTGACCATTTTACTTTGACTTCTCAAAATAGTCACGTCTACGGATTGATTCAGTATGGTTTTACACAGGTATTTCCACCTTCACCCAAAGGGGTCCCACAAACATAAGACACACTGGTGACAGACATGTGCTGAGTGTCTGCCTATCTTCCCACCTTGCAGTCATTTGTTGATGCTTTTTTGGTCATTCCATATCTTGTTATGGAACCAGAGAAAGGAATGGCCACAGCAGGACCACACTTCCCCTATAGGACTCCCATCAGAACTCTTGGTTTTCTGATCTGGACCGATTCATCACACAGTTTGTGTTAGTATCCCAAGAGTACATGCCACAAGTACATGCTAAACAGAACCCTGCCTAATCTGGCACCCTGACAACAGAGATTCTGCCTCTGTCAACAAGAGATGGTCTAGGGTCTACAT